ACACAGGGAAAAAAAAAAAAAAAAAAAAAAAAAAATATGAACGGGTCAGGCGATAACTCACCAAAAGATAATGACCATCAAAAGGACAGCAAGACATGTGTGCAAGGTGATGTAGGAGAAGAATCAGACGAAGGGAAAGATACAAACAGTACGTGCAATAAGATTAGTAGTATCTTCGACGATTTGGAGCACACAACGCTGGATGTGCATAGCAACAAAAATGGTTGCAGCAGCATGGAAGATGAAAAGGAACAAATTATGCACAATTACTACTCGGGAGAAAGTACCGATACGTTCATATTTGTTGTCACCCGGAATGAATACGATTTGTACAGCTGTGTGGGTCTACATGGAGAGATAATAAAAAATGAGAAAAACGTAGAAGTGTACAAGAAAATGTACAACATGGTTGACTACACGTACATAAAACAGGATTTGCTAAACAGGGGGAGAGGACAAAAGCAGAAGAAGGGGGAAGCATCAAGAAGCGGAAGCGAAGAGGTGGAACACAAAAATATGAACTTGGAAACACTGCTGGATAGTAAAAAAACGGAAATGAAAAGTATAACTAATTCATTCATAAAAATGTGTTCGTCTCGATTTTTCTCGTTTTTTTTTAACAAAATTAAGTATTATTGCAAAATGGGGATTTTTAAATATTTAAACAAATTCAGCAAGGTGAATATGGACAGCATCAATTCACCTCTAACATGGTACACTTTGTTGTATTTTGTAAAAAATGTGGACTACATAAGATCGAAATATTCGCTAAGGCTATCTGCTTACGATGAAAAAGTGAAAGAAATTGATGGGCTGAGTCGCGGGTTTGTCTACATTAACAACCACATGTTGGGAAGCTTTTGGATAACGGACGATAAGGAAAGTTACGAAAATGAAATAAATGAAGAGAATAAATTAAAAAAGAGGACAAAATTGAAAAAGGACAAAAAAACCCAATTTGCTACGAATGAAAATTTAATTAGTATCCCACAAACACGGTACATGCGCATACCAACGGACTGGCTGATCGAAGGAATAAACGTCGTCATTGTTTTTGACGAATTTGGGGGGAACCCGTACAAAGTCGAACTCGTGCGTGAAGTGCTAGAAGGGGGGGTATACCGGCTGACCAAGAAGGAGAAGTATGTAAATTGGATTTTGTTCCTCTTCATTTTGAGCATTATTGTTTTCATTACGTATTTCTGCTTGAAGGCTTTGCACAACTATTTTAAAATAAAGGAGGAGAAAGAGAGGAACAAACAGAATTATCAAAATATTATCGAAAACATAATTACACATAATATTTATGTGAACAGTTCATACGATGATGCCACGGAGGAAACGGCGTCTGAGGACATTCAGAATGTCAGCGAGTTTTTGGACTCTTGATTTTTGCGCGGCGTTTGCTCAGCGTAGCAGCGATTGATTTTTTTTTTTTTTTTTTTTTGTTATTTTTTGCAGTGCAGCGCGTTCATTAAGACGGCTACGTGCTTGGGCGATTTTGTCGCTAATCTGTTACACGTGGAGCATTTTTCCTTTTACCCTTTTTTTGTTGAATAATCCTTCTGGCGCTTTGACTGCTTCTCACCGCCTCCCACTGCATTGTGTCCACTTTGCCCACGTTTGCTTCATCTTTCTTTCTTTTTTTTTTTTTTTTTTTTGTTCTGAAATGTATCGTTTGGTTGGGGGGTGGGCAGCTGCTACACTCAGCACATTGTGCAAGAATAGCAAATGTGTGAGCGCGCCCATGCACAGTTATGTACGTTCACCCAAGTGGACAGCCTTGCACTGACCTACATGTTTTGTGTCCCTGTTTTCTGATAAACTGCCAAGGCGTATTAATTAATTTTTTAAAAAGAATTTGCGTTTAATACGATTAGGAAGCACAACAAAAAAAAAATATGATAAAGTTAAAATTAAAACTTAATATTAAGAATTTTAAAACATGTGTTTTGGTTTTTATTAAGAAGGAACATTTATGGGGACAAAAACAAAGCTTACGTTAAAACAAAAAAAATAAAAAAAATTAAAAAAAAAAAAATGGCTCGGCATGTGGATATGCCTGTAATATGGTAACATAAAGGCCGCGCGAACGGCTAGTATGTGTAGGGAGGAATTTACGTCGACGGAGGTGTGTTGTAGGTTAGAGCAACACGGGGAGTGTGGGGTGTGCGCTATGAGGTTGTCACAAATGAAGGGGCTAAACAAAGTAACGAGACTAAATTTTATCGGTGCTTGCACTCGTGGACGTGTACTTCGTCTTGACTATGCTATCCATGTAGAAGTACATTATAAAGTTGAAAAAGAAGGGTACGATGATCATCACTACGAGTAGCCTGTATCTCATATTGCTGATGTGGGCTATGGTTCCCACGACTAAAACGTTAAACATTGGAGACAGGAAGAAAAAAAAGAGCAAAGATATAAACTTAGCTGTTAGGACTACAGAGACCCAGATGAAAATATTTTGAAACAAATCCATATCCATATAATTGTCGTCGATTTTTTTGTAAATTTCTGAATGTTCCTTGTCGTATGTAGGTTTATTTTCTTTATCGTGATCACTTCCTTCATTTAACTGAATGCAGACGTCATCATTAGGAGTTTCTTTCGTGAGTAATTTTAGCTCATTTTTGTAGTCTTCGCAATTATTATTGTAGTATTTTTTATACTGTTTGTATTGGCTGCAGTCGTCATAAGTGCTTTGTTCTTTCTGTACGTCTGTTACAGGGTTCAGGTTGGCATGTTCTCCTCGCTTTTCGTGTTTGTTTGCTTCCTCCGTGTGTGCTTTTTTAGGGGTGGTCTCGTTCATTGAGCCTATTTCATTTTTTCCCTTCGTCTTGTTAGTCCCCTGGATCTTCACTTCCCCGGTTGTAGCGCCTGCCTTGGGCGCGAGATGCTTTTCCACATTTTTACCCCCGTCCACATTGTGTAGGGCATTTTCCGTGGTGCCCGTGTTACTATCTTTGGTCATATCCAAATTGTTTGAACCATTTTTTGGAGTTTCATTGGGGCAAGATATGCCAGTGGTTTCATTTGAGCTCAATGTATGAACATTGTCCTTTTTGGGCATTGCACTCTTCACATTTGATGTGGTGGAACTCGGACCAGTGTGCCCTTTTTTTGTTGTTCTTGAAGTGTCCTCAGTTTTGTCATTTTTCCCTTTGTGTTCGTCATTACTATTGGCAAAATTGACAAAGGAAGAATAATGAGAGAGAGCATCAGTCGGCTTGTATATAGAGGACATAGAGTTGTTGTGCAGGTACTCTTTTTTAAATTTTAGTAACTTAAAAAATGCGAATAATTTATATTCTACATATAGACCCAATGAAGCATCAAGTATGATCTGAATAAAATAAATGGAGCACTCATCCATTTCAATTTTGTACAGATAGGACAGCAAGTGGTATCGGAATATGAACATGCATGAAAATATGTTTGTTATGTGTAATGTTACTGATCCACATATGATAACAATTACGTCCGTCAAAAATTTGATGAAGGTTCTTCTTGGTTTCTCGAAGAGGAACTTGGTTATTAATATGCTTACGGACACACACCCGATGAAGACCTGCACGAACACGCCAAATTCTCCCGGTATTAGAACACATTGTTCGCTCATATTTCTTTCTTTTTTTTTTTATTTCGTGGGTGTGTGTGCCTTGTGTCGTTTATTCGCCTTTGCGCTGGTTGTGTTTCAGTTCGTGCTGGTCGCGCTGCGGACGTTTGTGCGTCGCTTCTACTTTCCTGTTTTTTTATCTTCTAATTTTTCTTTTCTACGTTATTGTTCTTACTCTTCTCTTCTCTTTTTTTTTTTTTTTTTTTTTTTT